ATTAAGAGAATTGTTGAATTGGTGTGATGAGAATGGTGGAGGATAGGGCTATTTATAGGAACTGAACATAATTCAATTGCCCAAAATACCCAAAAAACTATYTRTTATTTAGTTKTTGGGAGGGGTAYTTTGGTYATTGTAAAGTTACTTATAACTTTACCCAAAATGCCCCCTAAACTAGTTGTTATATAGCTTTTGGGGGGGCATTTATGTTATTTTTTCAATCCCCCATAAGCAAAATTTAGAAATAACCTCCTAATATGGCTGTTTATAACTGTTGGGGGGGGTATTTCTGTAAACCCCCCCCAAAAGCTGAAACTAGCTGATGGGCCCCATTGGGAGGGGAGCCCAACGGCTATATTCTCGAGCGGGCCGAGCGCGGCCTGTTACGGGCTTGGCGAGCCGTGCTTCGTGTTGTGCTGAGGGCTGGGTCGTGTTGGCACACGGGCCACGGACGACAACAGCTGTGTTGTGTTGGCCCATGGGCTTCGAACACCCGGCCCAGCACGACATGGACCTCTGTGCCGGGCCTGGCATGACTCGTTAGCCGTCGTGTCGTGCCAGGCGGGGCCGGTCCAAAATCGTGCCTAGTCATGCTGGGCCGTGGGCGGCCCGACCCGATTTACACCTCTAGCTGCTCCCTGGAAGGCCATCCATGATGTTCTCCGTACATTCCTACATTTTATCAGGTATGACTTGTCCACTGGTAGCAAAATCAGATTTTGTGAAGATGCGTGGGATCGGGGATATTCCTTTGGGTGAAAAATTTCCTTCTCTTTATGACCTGTCCGGGTTTAAAAGTAAGCCTATTTCTGAGTTCCTAAGTCAACCATTTCACCTTCCAGGGTTGAATTGGAACTTTGGATTTAACAGGAACCTTAGAGAGTTTGATTTTCTTGCAGTGTCCGAGCTGTTAGGATTGTTGAGTTGAGTTTGTTTAGGATTGTTCGATGGTTGCAACACAATTTCCTTCTTATTTTCCAGTCAAAGAAATTTGGTGCCCTCTTATCCCTCCTAAAGTCAGTGCTTTTTGTTGGGAAGTTTCTCATGGTTGTAGTGACACCTTTGATGTTCTTCAAAGAAAAGGGCCAAACTGGTGCTTGTCCCCTAACTGGTGTGTACTGTGTAAATTGAATGGTGAGACTGTTTTCCACCTTCTTATATCTTGTCCTTTTGCCAGTTTTATTTGGAATTGGTTTACTTCCCTTTTTGGGTGCAGGTGGTCATCTCCTGACAGGGTGGAAGGCTTATTCAGCCCTAATGGTATTAGTGGTATGACTAGGAGGGGAATGATTCTTTGGAAATGCACTAGAGCAGCAATAGTTTGGACCATCTGGGAGGAAAGAAATGATAGGATATTTGAAAGTAAAGAAAAATGCAAGGAAGCTTTAGTTGAAACAATAACATTGAGGGTGGCTCATTGGGTAAAAAGTTTGAAGCTGTTTTCA